ACGAGCAATTCGTTGTCACTTCCAGGCACAGCATAGCTTAGCGCTGCCCCGTTTCTGTTATCTCTGCTTTTAATCCACACACACAATGTCACGGCTGTGAGGCTTCTCATGCCATGCTTGATGACGAAACCATTTGTTGTTTTTCCCGTGAACCGTAGAGCGTAGTCTGAAGAGAAGAGGTAAGATGTAAAATGTTCCTTTCCCCCNCCCCCCCCCTCGCCCCGCCCCCTTGGGAAGGCCTGATACTCAGATTCACGAATTTATTACCACGTAAAACGCAAGCCGCTTAAGATTTACTGCATTTACCACATTTACTGCGACGTCTCATTGTGTTTTGGGCGGGGTTATCAACAAAGTAGAGGAAAGAAGTTTGATTTTTAGGCCAAATTTTCAAAAATTTAACATAAGTTCTCCTCTTATGGTGGTCTCCAAACCTAAATCAGAAGTCGACACAAAAACAAACTCAAAGAAACACAACTGCGATGGTACGTAGAAATACGGTGTATGGGACCTCTGGTAACTATTGTACACGCGGTGGCATAAAATACATTGAGTATTATACAGTTGCATGAAGCATTATCACTTTTTCAACGAATTATAGCAGTTATATACTTTCAGCGTGTAGTCGCGTTTTTTTAGACACCAGAAGCTACTTAAAACAGAATACACTGAAGTAAATCCCTTTTTATCGAGCTAAGTTGATAGTTTACTGTAGGTGGTTGTACCTTACAGTATTTTACAAGGGAGATATGTCCGTCGTGTTGTGTTATGAGTTCACTAAATACTATAAATTCTGAAAGCAAGCAAACCTGTAGACTCCAACTTTCTTTCCAGTGAATGAACCCTTTTGGACACCCTGTCAAGGTATAACTGCTGCGCATAGTGTTTCCCTGTTAAAATTAAATTTAAAAGAGGACAAATCATGCATGGGTGTTAGTGAAAATGCTTACGAGGAGAAGAATGTTATTGTTGTGAGTTGGATCGCTAGCACGATCAATTAGCCCAGATTAGTTCGTTCACTGGCCCATCTAAGCGGTCCGAATAGCAAACTTCGGGCCACTAAGGGAACACGTTTTTTGGAAAAGTTTTAGCAGATAATACATTCAGTGGCTAAGTGCGTTTCGATGGCTTCGTTTCTCCTCGTTCTTCGTTCTCTTCCGATCCTGAGTTATTTTTTCGAGCGATCTAGAGAAATAAAGGCACGCAAACCTGCAGCGGACTTATCCAACTTTCTGGTTTCCAGTAAATTAACCCTGTTGATCAGCAAACTTTCAGACCTGAACATCTTTCTTTCCAGTGTATCAAGCTTGTTCGACGACTCAATTTTCAGTGAATCAACCCTGTCGGACAGCATTGCTGCAGACTTGTTCAACTTTCTATCCAGTGAATCAACCTTGTTGGACGAATCTATTTTCAGTGAATCAACTCTGCCGGACATGAAATCTGCAGACTTATTCAACTTCATTTCCAGGGAATCAAGTTTGTTGGACAGATCTTTTTTCAATGAATCAACCCTGTTGGACAGCCAACCTTCAGACTTGTTCAACTTTGTTTCCAGTGAATCAACCTTGTCAGACAACGTTACAAAAGATGGCTGCGTTGCGTAGTGTTTCCCTGTCAATAAAGAAAATGGAAAGAGGACACTTCATGAGTGTTGTTTAATTAAAATGCTTTCGAGCTACAAAGTTTCACTTTCATGCTGTGAGTTTGATCGCTACCCAAAGTATGATTCACTGCATGTAAACTTATCTAACTTG